ATGAGCTCAGCTTGTGCACACTCATTGTGTTACAATCATAAAACAGACTAACAGACTGAACAATGAAGATATGAGCTTATGGAAAAGCTAAGTGAAAAATGTTAATTGATTTATTTTTCTGTCACGATGATTTGGATGGAAGTTAGATGGCACAAGCTATCAGGATTGATTTTTCCTTCGAGATAGGTGAATCCCACCATTGGATGTTTGCCTAGTAAGTTTTCCCTTTTTTACACTACCTTATCTTAATATTTCCCCAGTGAGACTCCACTTCAAAGCTTTCATGTAATATATTTATTGGAAATTGCTTTTAACATCCAAAACTCTGAGCTATAAAAGCAAAGTATATCACATTAAAACGACAACGAAGATTGAAGATTTTTTTCATTCTCAAGAAAGCTGTTCTCATAGAAAACATTTCTGGAAACTGGGAGTAAAACTAAAGGCCCGTCTACACAAAGTGATTTTCTTGGCCGACTTTCTCGTAGAGCAAAAATTTTAAGGATCTGCGTATGCGCCAAAAATCGGTCATGTTCTCTGCCACGATTTCAGACCTGGTGTTCACTGCTCACTAGCGTACGATAGAATCGGAGTCTCTAGCCAATAAGATTGCTTTGAGTGATCACGTGCTTTTCTCCTCATTTGGAATAATGAACATGGCTGCATTTCGTTGGAGCGAAACTCAACTAATAGATTTCTATAAAGAAAATGTTGTGTTGTGGCACACGAGTAATGTAAATTTTAAAATAAAAAATTAAGGGATTCTCTTATTTTGATAAGATTTGTCTTCACCATTACTTTATATATTCAAATGTTTTCTAATTCCGGGTGAAAATGATTTTAACTCCCCCAAGAAAAGTTCCAAAAACTATTAGTGATGCCACGTCATGGGTACTAAATGAAAATATTCAGAAACTACTTGAAACTGTGGTCGCACTTATTGAAAAAATTCAAAAAGCAAAATCTCCAGTCGAGAATAAAGCAGCGCAGTGACTCAATTGACTTCGCCGAAAATGGGAGTTAATCTCAGGTGAAGATGTACATAGCTTTTCCAACAGCTCCTACATGAGCGATCATAGCCTAGTGGTAAAGAGCAGACTATGTTTTCTTCGTACGTCGAGATCGTGGGTTCGACTCCCCACCTTAATTTTGGACTTTCTGCACCTGGAAGAACTTTTTAATTTAGTTTATCTATCACTAAATTCGAACTGCATGACTTAAAAGTAAAGTTTTATTTTTTCGCATACGGGTGGGGTGTTTATTGAATTTTAACGTCTTTTTATTTTTCGAATGGCCGTTGGCACGTGTTTTGGATCTACCGGTTAAAAGAAAGTCAAAAGTCACAAACTCAGTTTTGTGTTAATTGAATTTTGCGAAAGCAAATTACAGCCCAATTTAATTCAATATTGCTAAATTTTATTTGCTGATTAACTGATAGAATCATAATTTTCAGACTGTATTAGTTATTTAATTATGCTGATATTAGTTTTTTAATGTTCAATAAATATACTACTTAAGACTTTGCACCTTTATGATATTTCTAATTTAAAATTTTGCACTGAAATTACACTGTTGCTTTGTAATGTAGTAATCTTTATTCTTTATTAATACTTTTTACTCATATTGGGTTGATATTCATGATATATTGTCTATTTATTCATTAATATAGGTTTTGATTTAAAGCACAGTAGTTACTTATTTTTTCTGAAACATGGCTATTTTATTATTTCAAGATTTAAATGCACAAATAGGAGTGCCAGAAAGTGAAATTTAAAAATAAATAAATAAACTAAAAAAGGAGTAATCTGTGTACTCGATACACAAAAGAAAAGCATTAAAAAAAAAAATTCTGCAAACTAAATTTAGCAAAAAATCAAAATCATGCGGCATCATCCATAAATACTTTCTGAATTGTACTGTGTCTTCAATACGTAACTCCCGGAGCAGGGAATTACGAAGGCACTATGAATTTCTCATCGTTTGACCCAATTTCTGGTTCAAATGCATTTTTTCCCCTTCTGTAGCAGTAGCTAAGTTCAAAATTGTAGCTGTATCTATAGTAGCAATTTAAAATACTCATCCATTATTTTGACTCTTTGACAATACCATAAACTTTGTTTACAAATCGTAGACAGTGTGATGCTGTAGAGGGCGAGAACACTTCCTTTCATAGTGAGTGGCTGAGTGAATTCCTGTACTAACGAGAAAATTGTTCCGTGTGGAAGGGCGAGCTATCTCAGATATTGTCGGCCAGATAAGTTGGCCGAGAAAATCACTACGTGTAATAGATCCACTGAGTGAATCTATTAATGATAGTTAGCAAATACCAAAACCTCTGCAAGATTGTAAAGGGACAACGATATCAATGTTAAGGTGCTTGAAATGTTCATTTGGAATTTTGAGTTCAGCAGCTAGAGATTGGGTATGTTTGTGAACTTTGGCTCATTGGCATGCCAAGCATTCTCTAGTCTGCAGTTGACAGTCATTGTTTATGCCAGGCCAAATGAATCTTTTTGTCACTAGCTTCATTGTTGCATGACTTTCACGATTGGATAAATTATGTATAGAGAAAAATATTCTATAACAAAATTCTTTCGGAATGTATGGCCAGTTAAAATTAGTGTATGTATCACAGTAAATTTTCTTATTGCTGTCTGGAATAGGAATTTGTACTATCCCTGAAACTGGAATTTGAATTTAAAAGCTAAAGGTCTTCATCCTCCTGACAACCTGCAATAATTGTATAATCAATTGGAGCTGGAGTAGAAAGAGTTTCAATTCTATGTAGTTATTGTGTCTGCTACGATGTTTTATTCTCCGGAATATGTCTGTAGTGAATTCAGCAGTGTAGTTCAGTTGCTGTACTTGTCTTGGAGAGGTTTTATCTAAGTTCTGTTGGAAGGCAAAGGTGATAGGTTTATGATCAGTGAAGATAGTGATCGTCCTCCCAGAATGTGTTAAGCTGCCTTATGGCTAGGTAGACTGCACGTAATTCTCAATCATAAGTGTAAGTATGAGTGCAGTTTCTCTGAGCTGATGATAGTGATCAACATTTCCACCATTATATAGTTGAGATAGATCACTGGGCTAACAGCAGAATTAGATGCATCTGTTATTAGAGTGATACGCACTGTGCCAACATTTTTATTGTATCGTCAGGATTTTGCAAGTTCCCTGGTTTTAGTCTAGTTCAACAGTTTAAGTCTAGTAAGATGACATGCACACATGGCAGTTTTGAGGCTTTACTTATTGTTTAGGTCATGTAGAAAGAAAAATGCTAACCCCCACACAAGGCTGCCAATGGAGCCAGTGCAAACTGCCCCCCCCAAAAAAGGTAGACAAACAATTTTTTAATTTACAGGAGCAACAAGCAGCAAAAACTAGGGATGGCAAAATTTTTAGAATCTAATAAAGGTGCCAGACAGTGGAATTAGAACCTGGGGAGACTGCAGCGGGTGGGAAAATGTATAATGTCACCTCCCTAGAGCTATTAAAGGGCCAACATCAATGCAGAGTCAATCAATCTATTGTTACTGAGCACAGTGTAACTCTGTAGACAGCGTTTGAAAATTATAAGGAGGAATCTTGTGAGAAAAATCACATTGGTGGCACACCTGCTTCTTTTTGATGAGTATCACTTTTGTTGACTTGGGGGACTGCTTATTTTATTTATTTATTGAACTGGAGGTTTGGATATTAGATCATATTAGACTTCAGACTTTGTACTTTGTACGAATCATAAGATAATGCATTGTGTTGCAATAATTCATCGTTATTATACATAATTCCATAGTACAAATATCAGTTTGAAGATTTAGTTAGTTGCTGACTTGCCACACAATATCAAACTATAAATTATACAATTTATCAAGCAAGAATAAACCAAAAAATGTATTTAAAACATAATCAACAGAATCATCTGTTAAGCATTTCTGTAAATACTGAAAAAATTCAACACTGACCAGAAGCAAGAATTTCTTTCATGAATTTAATACAAATAATATATTTAATGCAGACATAATGTTAAAAAGAATTACTGTGGATTATTTACTTTTAAAGAAGAGATAAAGTAAACACCTTAAGAAAAACATGAGTATTATTGGCTGCCAAAAGTCTGGAGCAGAGTCTCCTTTTGACATACGGAATCCCAGCATCCATTCTCATTTAAAGATTTTTTACCTTTGCATATACTCCATAAAATAGACAAAAAAAAAGCAACATTTTTCAAAATGGGTGAAAATCCTTGACTAGAAAATAAAAAGTTAAAGGAAAACATTTCATTATTCCCTGATAACTGCACTGCACATTGTTGGCACACTGAAAAAAAATTGAAATCTACAAAAACTGAATTCCTCCCACCTCCACCAAATTTTACACCTATGCCTTGCTTCAAAATTTATCAAAGAAAATAAATGAATAACTAACATTTTAATTAGATTGGATATAAAAATTTTCTATAGTTAAATATTACTATTTTCAATTTAATGAAATTTCTTTCCACTCAGTAATTTGTAACTCATTCCATCATGCAGGATTTAGTAATGAAAAATCCATTCAAGAGTTTTCTGACATCAATGAAATATTACTTGTCACCTCTTTGAGTACTGATACAAATGAAAAATGTGAGGAATACTTTTTCAAAAGGTAACAGAACCCATGAACACCCAATAAAATTTCACCTTTAAGGATTAGGAAACAAGTAATAAAAATATTCAGCATGTAGGGAACTTATTTGAAGAATTAAATCTCTCTGAGAATTAAATTTCAAATTCACTAAATCCTCAAAAAGCGATCCTCATTATTGAAAGCAATTCTTCATATAAGGGTTGTTGAATAAAAAATTTGTGTTCAAAACTGAAAAGACATATGTGGTAAATTTCAATATACTTTAGCATGTAATGATTACGTGTTATCAAAAATCTGTAGTAAGTAGTGAGGTTAAACAGCATTTTACAGTATAATTAAGGGGTACAAAATGCATAAAATATCTTAAACTTTACTTTTTCCTAGTTTTTAGATAATTTTCCACTGCTTTAAGAAAGCTCTCTGGATGCCTAAATCCATATCCAGGCATATCAACAAGGCAAAGACAATTTCCAACTTGGAAAAAATTCACAGTTTGTTCTTGCCCCTGAAAAACAACAATTACGTGCAGTTAACATCAGTTGCAACATCATTAATACACCTACATATTAGGTTTTATCTGAATTACTAATGAAACTATACTACTTAATTTATGCCATTTTTACATTTAATCTGGAATTTCAAAAATTAAAAAATTGCAAGATTACATTAACTTAAAAAAATTACAAACACAGTCAAAAGTCGTTAATTCGGACGGACACCCATAATCCGGACCTCAAAGCTACAAACTTTCTGCGCATGCGTCGTGTTGACGCATGTGCGTAAGACCTTTACAGCTGCGAATATGCATGTGCGTATGTGCATAATATGTTTACGCATGCGTGTTTAATGTATAATGGACGGTATAAGCTAAGCTAAAATTATCTAAATCAGTTAATGTTGCAGATTGCGTTGTTCCTTAATCTTTGAATTGGATCCGGCTTATTATTTTTTGCAGACTGTTAGAGCAATTTTATAAAAGTAAGCTTGAACTTTCGATTATGTCAAATAAAATTTCCGATATACATTTACTAATATGTAAAGGATCTACAAAGCGAACATATGTTTCGAAGTCCATTAAACCAAAAGTGGAATTGCTGCAAAAAATGGATAAAGGTTTGTTTCTCTAACCATTCCGAAACCTGTTTATCAATTTCACACTGCTCTTGGGGGGGGGGGATGCCGCGGCGCGTTTGGAAGTTGAATTGGAAGTTGATTTGTCAGCACTATCCTTATCTTCAGGGCAGATGTTTTTATTTTATTTGGCTTATGATTCCTTACTAAATGTAGTATTTCATCTAGATGTACTCCGTCTTTGATATGATTTAAATCAAATTCCTAGTCATTCTAATTCGCTTCCGATAGTGAAGAAAATAACGCAGAGGTTATTGAAAACGAAAAAGTTTCGATTGACAAATTAGTCGGTATTCTCGACACAGCAATTATAGGACTTGAACACAGCGGAACTTTGTAACTGAACAAGAAATTATGTCTGTTTAAAGAATTAAAGAGAAAGTATTATCACATAAAAAACGAAGCAACTTAAACAACTTACATTGAAAGAAATGTTTAATAAAGTAAACAAATAAATATTAAGGTCTTTTTTTTTGTAAATTTTGATACCCTTTAGATCATAATTGTTCTTTATTTCATAAATTACGGTTTCATATTTTTAATTTTATAATTTCTGCATGCCATCTTACCAGATTTAAACTGATGATCTATAATCCGGAATCGCCGAAGTCCCGACGAGTCCGGATTAACGACTTTTGACTGTAATGACTTACTCAACAATAGGAGCATAATCATTAAGATTTGGCTTTATGCCTGGTTCTGTAAAGAGCACAGAGACAATACCCAGAGCCATATGGTCAACATGGCATATAAAAATCATTTTATATCCTACACAGTATCAATCCCAAGCAACCAATGCCTTTCTTGATTATACACTACAAGCGTTATCTTTGCTATGCCAATGCAAATTGTATGCCACTATCAAATCTGCATTGGTGCTGATCTTATGCATTAACCCTGTGTCTGAAATGATCCCATGTTGATGGTATCTCACTGTCAAGTGTATCCCTGCAACAACTCTGTGTAAGTGAAAAATGCACATTAATCTTGTTGCTAATTATTACAACATGATCAAAATCCTCCCTTTTATCACTTGTTTTAATTACTTTTTAATTTTTTTCGTATGCTAGTAACTAGTGTCGATCTTGAGTAGTTCTGTTTCTGTGCAGTGTTGATCCTATTGAATGCAAGCTTCTTAAAGTCATACTTTAACAGGCATTGCTGCTTTATTGATCACTCTGAGAATTGTTATTTATTTAAGCTACTACTATAAAGTATTTACAAAAACTTGAACAATAAAATGCAAGTAATATTTTAACTATATACGAGCAGTTTTTTTTTTTTTTAAAGCATACTTTCTTTGACATCGATCATTTAACCCTTTGACGCGCGCAACATTATTTTTACAATTTTTTTAACTAAAAACTCTAGAAATTGAATATTATGATCCTAGACACAAATAATATATGAATTAAAAAAAATCTACTCTTTCCCATTGTTCTGTGGGTGGTGGTTGCACTGTGAAACCACTGCGCATCTAGGACTTACTGATGTAATGGCAGATGAAACTTACTGATGTAGTAGGGGAAAAAACTTACCATTTTCCGCGCACGTTTCCAATATATGACGAAATTTACGGATTTAAAAAAAATGTATGTGAGAATTGCATTATATGTAATTTTTTACATTATTTTACAAAGTAAATCATCAGAAAAAATTAAAAAATAAACATTTATGTAATTTTTCTATAGCAGTGAAAATATAAGTACCTACATAATAAGGACATTTGGATAAATGGATTAAAAAATTCAATAAAATAAGGATAAAAAAGAACTCGGTGTTTTTTTTATTTCAAAGAACATTTTTTTTTTATTTCAAAGAACTTTTTTTTTTTTGTGACACTGTTCAAAGCATGTTTTGTCTTTTTGGTACATGCATAGACCCACATTGCACGTTTTGCACATACATCTTGTTCTTTGAGGTTTCTTCCTTGTGATACAAAATGTACACTGCCTGGATTTAAATTTCACTGGTATATGTCCAGCGTTATTTAGTTTCTTTTCATCTGGCAGATGAAATTTGTGGTTTTTTATGTTAATGGGGGGGGGTCTTAGTCTTTTTGGCTTTGTACGGATCGTTCGTTTCCCATTCATACTTATTTTATTCGTATTTCATCCCTAAATATTCAGAAAATATTTTTAATTTAAATAAAACTTTTACGCAATTCCTATTTTTAATTATAGCAAAGTATATTTACATTAAATTTAAACCACAGGAAATAATTTATAAAATCACAATACTAGCTTGGGGAGCAAGTGTGTTGATGTCAGAGTTCAAGTATTTGGAAAAGAAAGACCTTTTTACTGGGCAGGTGCATGTATTGTTTAGAAATAAAATAACTCTGTGGTTTCAAAGCCCTTTATCTATATCCGGGTAAAAATAAACATTCCTATTTGAAAAGCAAGCAAACGCCAGTGGTTTCAAGGCGTGACCACCGAGCCTCTGGAGGATTGTAAGCATTGTGACACAATGCTCTATTGGGGCAGTGGTCGCACCCTGAAACCACATAGCAAATGCCATACATATAGAGGTTTTTTTTTATATATGCAGTTTAATTGCTGCAATTTTTTTATTGTTTATGATAGAAATCATGATGTGCGATGACTAACTTTTGAAATTTGAAGTTGTTTATATTAATAAAAGGAAGTTATTTTGTCTCATCGAAAATGAATTTTAAAAGTCATCCGATCTGAAGTATTAATACCTAAAACATATATGATTCCACAGTCATTTTGTGTTATTTAGATGTAAAAGATCAGTAATCAATTCATTTTCACTCATAAATTTCAGAAAAAAAATTTGGAAAATGGTGGTTTCAGGGCGCGACCACCGCACGTCAAAGGGGTTAAAGTAATCAGTCAAAAAGTATAGCAGAGATTACAGGAAGATAAAAATAACATACAAACTCAGACACATTTTTTTCTTTTTTTTTTTTAAAGCAATAAGTCAAGTCTTCTGATACAGGAAGCAGTGATCAGTATTAAATATCTTAAAATTTTTTAAGCATGGGGAAGTCACTTCATTTACATCCCATTTTAGTCATGTATATCCTATACACACAATTGGATTTATGAATTCAAATTCCTGCTTATAAAATTTAAATACTTGAATCAATATTTATGTACTAACTTTTACACTTCTTTTTCTACACACTTTTTATTCCCAAATTTCATTTAATTCTACGTAGAAAGGTTTTAGGGAATCTCAAGAAATCACTCTAATGCATTAGTTCTTTAGTAGAGCTGATTTTCCCAGTCCCACTTCTGGCTTGATTCTTTTCATTCTTTGCTCCATCCTTGGACACCACACTTGATTCACTTCCTGTTCCCAATGTTATCCATCAAGGTTATTGTTAATGAGTGGTAAATATCAATAAAGAACTGATTCAGTTAAATGAGTGAATGGTTCTGATCTGATCCCATAAAAGAGTGGTTATAGCCACCTCTAATGAAAACAAATTTCCAACTCTTAAGCAGTGATCTGCATTCAGCAAATTACACATGCTCCATGCCAGTATGACCAGAAATCTTTAAGCTAAAATAGCAAGATAAGAATAAAAAGGAGCAAAAAGCAGCACATGATGGCAAAAGTATTTTGCCTGCATGACTTCTGACATCATTACAAATTCAGAGTCTCTGTGGGCTTTGTAATTCGATTCTTGGTCTAGTTTTGATGAAAACCAAATAGCTAATTTAACACTGTTTGAAGCTCCATTTCTTCTTCGAATTGATTCTCAGTAAATTTAGATTAGCTTTTGTTAATTTATTCATATTTATTGTTAGATTCTTTGTCACATCCAGATTGTTAACATTGCTGTACTAATTCTTTTGAGTTTGGTTTATTTGTTTCATCAATGAGACACTTTTATATTTTTACAATAAGATAGCTATTTCAGTTACAAACAAACATTGATAGCTTAGCTTCTATAATTTTGCCACTGTTTTATTTAGACAGTACACATCAATTATTGTAAAACATTTTTCAATTTAATTAAGTAGCATTTGAAAGAAAATATATTACAGAACAAACACAGTGAAGACTCTCTAAAACAACCACCCATTTTCAAACATAAGCCTTATTTCCATTCTATGATTCAATAAATCAATGTTATTCAACCTCAACTTACATTTACATACTTGCAATAAGTTTTTGTCTTTTCTGTTTTCAGTTTTTCTAGCCAATTCTCAAACATGGAAATTTTAAGCCAAACATTTTGAAAGGTGATGCCAATTTTTTTTGCAGTACTTGTAAATTACAAAGTAGCAATAATCTTTGTAGTCCTACTCACAGATGAGTGAAATGTTAAAAAAAGGAAAACATAAATAAATAAAATAAACAGTGAAACATGTGAAAACAACGGAAACTAGTGTTGAA